TGATTAATCATTTAACGAAATAACCTACCTAATGTAACCCCAAAAGCACTTTCACTCGGGTTAAGTCTTATATTATATTATCTCAAAGTGTTGAAAGTTTCTCTGAGCTCTTTTAAATGCTTAGTTAAACTTTTACTCTTGACTATCATGTCATCTATATATATTTTCATATTGTGCTCGATCTGGTCTTTAAATAACTTATTCACCAATCTTTGGTAGGTTGTCCCTGCATTTTTCAATTCAAAGGGTATGAACTTATAATAGTAAAGGCTTTTATCAGTAATAAAGACTATTTTATTCTTTTTTTTTTTATTTGATTGTAGCAAAAATAGGTATCTATGAAGCTGAAGAGGTCATGCTGGGCACTATTATCTATTAGCCGACCTATGTTAGAGAGAAAAAAATTATTTTTTAGGCAAATTTTATTCAAGTCAGTAAAGTCTACACATATTTTCCATTTTTTACTATGCTTTTTGGCCATGACCATGTTGGCTATCCACTCAGGGTAGTAGAACTCTCTAATAAAGTCAACTTACAATAATTTGTCAACTTTTTCCTCAATGGCTTATTGTATTTTGAGGGTAAAAGTTCTTTTCTTTTATTGAACTGGTTTTATCTTGGGATTAGTGTATAGTCTATGGACCATCAGTTTGGTATCAATTTCGAGCATATCAAACGGTGTCTAAGCAAATAGGTTGGCATTATCTTTTATGAGTTAGATTAGTTGGTCTTTATATTGGAGCTTAGTTTTGATCGTATGTATTTTTTAGGAATATTGTTTCAGAATGGGATTGTCATGAGATTTTCAATCGATTGGGGTCGATTTACATTCGACTTTGGTCTTTGATCAATTATCATTTTTTGTTCAATTAGGTCGAGATCATTTTCTATAAAAATAGATCCTGACATGATGATTAGTATATTGAAAAATTTATTGAACATATCAATAAAAGTGAAGTACATTCTTTATTTCATGCTATATTTTGGCCAACATATTAGCTTGATCTAAGTAACATCAAAGTGTTCACACCTACTTAAAAGCTCAGTTGTTTCTAATGTTGTCTCAAAAAATAGAACAAGATTAAACATTTTCAGAGCTTATGAGCTCAAAGCGACTTAAAAGTGAGCTTCTCCTAAGTCAGTCTTACATTTTATGCTTTTGTTGGTGATTTCTTGCTTTTTGTATGTTCTCTGTGTTGGTTTTTCTTTACTTTTAACCTCAATATCAATTGAGCTACCTGCATACTTCTCAGTCTTACCCTTCATCGTTATGACGTAACATTATCATACCATAAACTATTCTCCTTGAACTTTTTCAATCCCTCTAAGTGTTGAAATCTTCACTTTCAAATAAAAAGCTGAGCCTATAAGTTACATAACAAACTAGCTAAGTCGGCCTAATACATGTTATAAATAGATGGGACATCCACTATCATGAATTTTATGACTAAAGTAATTGTCCATGGTTTAGTCCTTAAAGAGATTGGAAGCTTGATAGTCCTTATTACAAGCTCCTGCTTATTCCTAAACCTCACTAATGTGGTGGTGATCAGTGTCAACTGATCTTCGTCAAACCCCATTTTCTTCAAACAACTATTGTACATGATGTCAGTTAAACTCCCATTATTAAATAGGATTTTTTTGACCACATAGTTATACACCAAGATTGTAATCACTATGGCATCATCATGTGGGTGTTGGATTCCCTTCAGATCTTTTGAGCTAAATGAAATCAGCTCATCTCTCAAGTTTTTTTTGGCTGAAGTGCCTACTATCATTATCATGATCGAGAGTTACCTCTTATGATCACATTAATCACCCCGACAATTGGCCTACTATTATCAACTCGAACCTCTTCTTGTTTTAGCTCTTCTTCTTGGGTATCCTTTCTTCCCTACTGTGCTCTTCCCTCTTTACCCCAGATGGGCATTCTATGGTCTTATCTGTAGTTTATTCTAGGTTAGTCTTATCTTTGTTATCCCATAAATCTCTTCAATTGACCTTGTCTTATTAGAGTTTTAATCTCATTTTTTAGGTTGACACAATCTTCGATATTATGATTGATATCTTTATGAAGGGTATATTTTTTTGTCAAATCCCTCCTTGTGTTTTGTCTCAATGGTTTAAACCATGTAAGGTCGAGATTTCTTTCAATTTACATCAAAATTCTCTCATGAGAGGTATTTAGTATAATGTAGCTTCTTTTTTCACTAAGGCTTCTAGCCTTATATCGTCTCCCTCTTAGAAGAAGATCATAAACATCTTTACCTTTTTTATGATCGATGAGAAAGAATGAACCTCTCTCACTTAGGCCGCTAAGAAGGGGGGATAAGCTTCTCTCATCTCAATTTGTTTTTATTGTAACTTCAGCATTTATGAATTTTTTTGCTATTAATAAAATGTCAGCCAGAGTTTTTGGCAGTTTTAGTGATAATGTCAGTTTTAAATGGTACTTTTTATCATTGAGTCCACTTGTTAGTATAATAATAGTGATCGTCTGTTCTAGGTCTTTAACCTGTAGGTTTTTACGTTAAAATGCATGACATAGCTTTTCAATGTTTCATTTCGCCCTTGGTGAATTGACATCAATCTTAGGTTCATTTTTTTTATTTTTTGGCTACTCACAAATCTAGACAGGAATAAGTGGCTGAGCTTTTTAAATATAATGATTGACCTTGGCTCCAAGCTGTTGTACCAGGACCAAGCTGTGCCTTTTAACGTAGTGGCTAGACCTTTACACATTAGAGCATTGTCTACCTCTTGTATTATTATGTTAGTTCTATAAAGTTTTAAATGATCAAATGAGTTAAAAGTACCATCGTATGTCTCCAAGGTTGAAATTTTAAATCCTTTGAGAGGCATGGCTCTATTAATTTCTTCAGTAAAATGTAAGGTCTCCTAGAACTTGAGCTTATCCTCAAATGCCACTGCCTTCATTTTCAGTTCTTTTTGCCTACTTGCATCCAAGCTTTCAAATCTCTGTTCAGTTGAAATACATAGTCTGTTTGTTTGAATTTTTAGGTTGTGGCATGTGTAGATTTATGGCTGAGGTAGTGATGAGTTGGGTTTGTGTGTTCTTCTTCTCTGAAGGTCGAGTAAGCTTCTATCTCTTCATAGCTTGATTGTTTGACAATGACTTCTTGGCTATGTGTAACTAAGTCTAGCACTTTTGAAACTTGCAGAGGGGTTATAGTTTGCAACATCTGCTTGAGAGCTTATATTTGTTCTGTTAGGACTTGAAACTATTCCATGGTCGATCCCGTCTGCAGTTTAGCTGGAAGGATAAAATGCTGGCTAAGGTGAGTTTCTGTTCTAGTTAGGGCAGCTATCTCTCTTTTCTCTTGAGTTCTTTTTTTTGGTGGCATTGTTTTGTGCTCGACAAATACGAAATATCCCCTACATGGCACGCCAAATATTGGTGTCGAGTTTTGACCTGAAGGTATTCCTATAAATACATAAGAGAAGTACGATTAGAGGCAAAAACAAACGGTGTCCTTTGCATTTGTACTCTAACACGCAAGTCACTAATATCAAGTCAACAAAAAAGTAGGAAGGAGAAAGAGAAAAAATGAATAGGATGAACTTGCCTTCATGAGGCCTTAGCCTTCATATTTATATGTAAGCTAAAAAAGATCATAAGAAAAAAATTAGGATAAAACTGAATTAAGATAGTACTGATCATGTCAGATCAACCAAATATGTTAAGTTGATATATATGATAAAGATACTTTTAATTATCTGCTAAAGATTTTAAGAGAAAAGAGGATCAATATATATTTTTTACCATCAAATACCCCAACACTATTGATGACACAAGAGAGTAGAAGAAAAAAATCTAAAGTTTAATTTATCTAACATCTAACGGATTTAGAATTTAAATTTTAATATCTATAAATTTTTTTATTTTTTAAAATGTATAGGGAACGGAGAAGGTTCCATTCCATGTGCAGTCCATGTGTCTTTGTGAGATTACATTAGAATTCGGCATTAGTAAATTGAAGGTGGCCCCACTTCGCAGTTGTCCAAAAGTCCATCAATAGATTAATGATTTTTTTTTTTTTTTGAGTAAAACAACCCATTAATAATAAATCAAAAACATTATATAATTTGTTATTTCTAATTAAATTATAGCTTTCGCTCTACACTTCTGCTACAAAAGCTTCTCATCCACTCTTTTTTTCTTCAACTGTGGAGCGCTATAAATAGCTTAATCAAACTCCTGGCATTACCAACACTGGATTAACTGTTGCCATTCTCCTTCACTTCATTTTCTTGTCCCTTGGTTTTTGCAATTTGATCATTGTCATGATCCTCGTGGGTTCAAAGCATGGTTCCAACTTCGATCAAGAATATGAAATTCTTCTATCAACACCAACATATGATAAGCAGGATATAGAGGTTAAGCAGTTAGTCCACAGAAAAGAACAAGCAAGGAATACCAGTAGAGCGTCAAGTGCATAGGAGACAGCTATGGAGGATAAGAAAGGGAACAGAAATTATTGCAATGCTAACAATATCGACGATACCGATAAAGATGATGAAAGGGATGATGAGCAAAGGAGAAGAGTTGAAGAATTTATTGCCAAGGTCAACAGAGAATGGAGCGCAGAAATGATAGGAATGTCCATTTAAGCTTAGAGATGCATCTGACTGTCAATTGTCTAAGCCTTGTACTCTATATACATAAATATGAAAATTTCCAGTTATCAGCTGGCGGTCATGCCTGAATCCTTCCATTTAATTGATGGGCCATGGCTACAGGAAATCTTTTTTCCTTCTTTTTTCTCTCTATGCTGGCCAACTGATGCATTCTTGACCACTAAACTAATAAGTCAATTAAAAAAATGGTTAGGATAGGGCTGTCTTTCGAACGATCCTTAATCCAAATTCAGTCATTAGTAAAATGGCCAGATTAATAATGGAAACTTTGTTATCATGATGCTGTAATTTGATGAAGGCCTGGCATATTGTTTTTCTTTTCGTCGAACACCAAAAAATAAATGAATAAAACATGCATTTAAACGTCAAATCATTTCGATACACGACACACAATCAGATGAATAGCACAGGTTTCAATCATTCATAAAATTTTACATCAATGAGTAACACCACACTAAAAAAATACACCATACACCATTATGAAAGCCAGAGACTGATCCTAACAACTAGAAATTCTACCTAAACCTAACAAGAGAGTACAATTATGGGTTAAAACCATCTTGGCTTTAAACCTACATTTCCGTTGGTAAGAAGCGAATGAGCTTATATTGGTTTTGGACAAGGTTGACTTGGGAGCTTAAATGGTGTCGTGTCCGCATTAAAGAACATAACCAGCTTCCAGCATGCATATGCTATCAACTGGAAACCTCACACTGCGATAGACTGTGGCCCCTCGATTCCTCCTCAGCAGAAGATGATTTATCGTCGATAGAAGAATTTCTAAAGCCCTGGATAGGGTTACCTGAACTGTCTCCATGAAATGATGGGGAGGTGATAATTTGCTTTACTCCAGCATGGGACACCTTAATTTCTTCTGTAGGGCTCACAACAGCTGCCGCAGGTTCAGTTCTCTGTTTCTTGTGCTTCTGCTCCTGCTGGTGACCTGGGAGGAAACTGCCCACAACAACCTGTTCTCTCAAAAGGATTAAGAAAGAAGGTATTAGACAGTGACAGTGATGTGACAACGATCTTTGTACATAGCTAGCGTTGTCCACTGGTCAGGTGGCAGCATTCTTCATCTTTTGCTATAACATATACCATCGACTTTTTGTTAATATTTTATGTCAATATCAAATGTCAGAATTTTGTTTTGGAAATGAGATATCATCAAAAGCATAAGGAAACCTTGTATGCAAAATTAGAACGTTTTTTAACAACTTATTGACCCTCAACTTCTTTGTTCTTTGCCTTGTTTTGTACTATTTTTTAGCATCTTTTATAGATTATATGGTTTTACCTGCACTGGACCAGCAGCTACCAACAGACCAGCAAGTCCCCCTCCTAGAACGCGACCGTCTGTTCCTGCCAAAGAAACACTCATCCCACCAGATCTACTCTTTGTTCCACCATTTTCAGTAGGCATAAATGAACCAGACAAGGAAAGGATCTCAAAACGTCCCTGGAGAAATAATAAGGAAGCTGGATTATTACTTGACAGTGACGAGAAAAAAAAAAAAAAAAAACTTGATAATCACTAACTGTCCAAGCCCGGAAGCATCCTTGTAATACAAAGGCAAAAGCAAGTTTGAGGGAATCTAGGTTGCATCATGAGTTACTTTTTGGGTTCATATGAAGACACGAAGTAGCCTCATAAATGTAGCCATGTTAATATGTGTAATTGAGTTCTACGGAGAATGCCACATGTGTTCTGTGCTTCTTCCAGATTTAATTAAAAATTAAAAGCATCAAAGATATCACATATTGACCTTCTAAGGAAACTAACACCCACTCACGAGTTGTCCCTTTGCCTGAGATGTAAACAAGAACCAGTCTTCTTAATTGGCTTAGTGGGCCTCAATAAAATAAGGGAGCTTAGTGCCTAATATTTTATACATCCTGACGCAGTTTAACTCGTATTAGAGGGGGATGAAGGACACACCTCATATGTCAGAGTACCACCAGATGAGGTCGGCTGACGAAGGGTAACATTTGAAATAGTGCCATTGGCAGAAAGAATGCAGATAGCACGAGCTCCTTGCTGAGATAAAGACATCACTTTCATCGTAACATCCTATAAAAATCATAAGGAAAGCATGAGATACAGAAAGCATTAAAAAAAAGTCTAAGAGGTGTAGAAAAAATCACCTTTTAGAATTAAAAACTGCTCAATCAATTTCCGTCTATCATTCACCCCCAAACATCATGATTGAGTTTATATATATGATTCTTGTGCAATTAATACTCACCAAAGAAATAACAAAGATAAAGAAAAATACCACTTAATGTAACATAAATGCATGTCTATGTTTCTATATTTGCTTGATTACAGATATGCACTTATTTATCCCATTGTTTCTATACACAAAAAAAAAAAAAAAATTTACAGCAAGATTTTGTAACAAACCAGGACAATTATAAATGTTGTGTTGGAGGGGGGTTTCTTAACAAATTTTTTCCATTCTTAGAACCATAGACTCTTGGAAGGGTGTCAGATTAATAAACCTTAATACAAAGAGGGAGAAAAAGGTGAAGACTTAGTAGAAATCAGGAGTGGAATGTGCTTAGGAAAATACCAATTTGAACGTTTTTTAATCATTATATAACTGTGCAAAAGCAACTCCTTCCTCCATTATGAGAAATTATTTCCTCTCTAGAGCCAGATGAATAACAGGGTGGGAAGCAGAAATAAACAGTTCAGAGAAAGTTTTTCTCTGCTTAAAAACAGAAGGAACACTCACAATAAGAATGCCAAATGTAACTTGTAGAGACAAGATATGTTACCAGGGCATACCTCACCAGCATTAACAGTGATCACATGAGGTGTGAAATTTGCCCCCACAAAATATGCGATTCTGTCACCTATATAAGGAATTCAAATTAGTAAATAAAATAGAAGCAGCACATTTTTTAAGCATGTAGATCACATCTCAAAATAAAAGTTTGTCTGATCTACAACTAAACAACTACTTACGGATAAAAAATAGCAGAGAGCATAGTAGAACTTGATGCTCTAGCTAGGTGCCTAAGTCCAAAGAGAGGATGCGAAAAAAATCAGAATCATTGGCCTTAATTGTATTTACCACCCCACTTAGGTAACAAGGTGGAACACTGGAAGAGGTGTGAGTCAAGTAAATATATACATTAATTATGGTGCTCAACTATGGATTAAAGACAGTAATTAGGGTCATCTACTAATTGACTTGGAAAGAAACTAGAAGTCAGCAGTAACTGCACCACAGAACCTGACAAATATTCTGCATAGTAAGAAAATTAAAACGAAAAACTTTGGAAAGGTCAATTCAATTTTCAGAAGTATCGCCTAGAGGTTCATGTTTAAGGTCAACTGACCCTGGGCTTGTAGCTGAACCCTGATTCCCAACCAAACAATTCAAGCTCCAAACCAAGATAAAATTTCTGTAGGGTCTTTTTATTTTTACCCTCCCCCCCCCCCCCCCCGGGAATTTCCCTACTATGCTAGAAATTTCATGCACTGAAGCTAATTCACTTCTCCATTATTGCTTCCTTTTGTGATTTCCTAATACTATTATTAAAAATGATGATTTCCACCATTCATCTCCACAGTCAGCAGGTCAGTTAAAATTAATTGCCAGGTTAAAGAAATGTGGACTTAATCAGCTTCAGTATCTAACTATATTTTACCTTAATAAAGCACAAAGGAAGGTGGCACTGGCACCTTGACAATTATTCTGGTACCTTGCCATTTTTCCCTGTGGAAAGACAAGTACAGTACTCCGGACAAGATAGAGATTCTCCTCGTTTTGCAACACAATCATCAAATCCGCTTGTCTTTCAATAACTACCATTAATTCCAGATATGGGCTAGAATCAGATATAATGGTCCCACCCTCATTTCAAACCCCACAAAAACAACATCCGATTTTAACTCAAAAACTGAAATCAATGAATTATCCATTTATCCCTCTCCCAAAACTCAAAAAATATAATACCTTTAGCTTTTCACACTACCAACCATTGTAACAGTAAAAACATCAGATAGAAACATCTTCCGAGATTCCAAAGCAAAATAAAAAAGGAACAAAAGAAAAATACCTGGGCCGCTCTCGAGCTCATACTTATGTGAATTTTTTATGGTGTCAACTGACCGCCCTCTTCCCCGTTTCCAAAGGGAAAACTCTCCCATCAGCGGAATCGACGACGATATCGGTATCGGTGAAATTGCCATTGCCAAAGATCCATCTGGTGCGTATTTTCTTGGTCTGCCTCTTTTTTTCTTCATTTCTGAACCGGTGCTAGGTCCCGGCGGCGAAGCTACGGTCGCCGGAGGTGCAGAAGCGGCCTGCATTGTGGGCCCCGCATATGTAGTGGGGATTTCCGTTCTGGGCGCAAAGTGGTAGCCCTCTGGAGCCTCATCTCCTTTCACTGCAACCCCGGGCTTTGGTCCCTCCTTGTCATCCATTCATATATGTTTTAGATCAAGAAAAAATAGGAAAAAAAAACCCCAAGCTGCCTAAAACCCCTGTAACCTACGCATTAAAGAGTTTGTAAATTTTGAGTGATCAGATGCTTCAAAAAAGTTAAATTAGAAAACAAATTATCAAAAAAAACAAAAATCAAAATCAAAATCAAAACTTCAGCTCAATTACAGAGAGAAAAAAAAGACAAGAAACTTGATTAAAATTTCAAACATCAACAGAAACCAGGTTTTATGAGCATGAAATTAGGTTTACTTTTTTTATAAACATAATTTTGTGGCTTAAATCTTCAACATTGGATAGGACGCACAGAGCTTTAAAATGCTGACAAAAAATTCTACAAAAAATCATCAAGAATTACAGAGAAGAAAAATGCAAACTTTTTGGAGTGAGGCAAGAATTTGTTCAGCAAACGAGAATTTAGGGTTTTGCAGAAAAAGAAAGAGAAATAAATAAAGTAGAAAAAATTCTAAAAATTAAAAAAATATAAAAATAAAAAATATAATAAATGATTTAATATTGAGAATTAATTACTAATTATTATTTTAATTGCAACATTCACAATATGAATTTTGGTTAATAAAATGGTTCACGTCCGTCTTAGAAATTTAATAGAAGTGATTTAATAAATGGCAAAGATATAAAAATTTGGGAGCTAATATTTGGGAAAAGAAAATGGCTTTTTCCATTTTAAATTGCCGCTCTTTTAATTATTTAATGCTTTAAAAAATATATTTTTAAAGCTGTAAAGCTAATGGATGCCATCTTCCTTGTCTTTTCAGTTAAACTATTGTTGACTATTCTAACAAACCTTAACTCCCCACCTTTTCTTTTTTTCACCAAAAACACACAAAGAGAGACGGAACTGTTAATAGATTTGAAAATTTTAGACGCAACATAATAATTAAACATAAAAATAATGTAAACAAATAAGAAACCAATATTATTTTAATTTTGTTCGAAATTTATAAATGAAATTAAAAAATAAATATATATTTATATTTAAAAATTGATATTAATTTAATATCATAATTTTTTATATTTTACGTATGTTTAATATGAAATAATAATTAATTTATGATTTGAGCAATACATTAATTTTTTTATACATATAATTATATATAAATATATAATTATTTTTAATAAAAAATAAAAAATTCATATTTATGCTAATTTGTGAGTCATTCAATGCATTTTGTATATAATTATATACAGAATGGTATTCTTAATAAAATACAAATTTTTCATAAACATACATCCGAGTAACATCTAATAAAATAAAATTTGAAGGTAAAAATTTTGCATATATGATCTAATAAAATAAATCTGTTGCATATTTTCATAGCAATATCTAGCATAATTAAATGAAAAAAAAAAGATAAATTGAATCCAAATATAAAGCTGAAAAAAATAAAAGGAGCATTTAAAAAAAAAAAAAAAGAAAGAGAAACGAAATCAAGAAGAAATAGTGAAGTATGTATCTTCAAACTCACATTCTAATTTTTAAATCATTTAGTAGATTCTTATTTTAGTGGGCAAAATAACGGTAAAAGATAAGAATATTGAATATATAAAAGAGAATAAATATAATGAATTTAAATTAAATAATTTTAATATAAAATATATCAAATCATATTCAAAAGTGAAACTCTTCTAAAAAATAGACTTTTTAAAAAGAATGATTGTTCCATTAATAAAAAAAAAATTTAAAAAAAATACAAAAATACGAAACCTAAAAGCATCTAAGTCACTTTGCAAATTTTTTACAATTACACAAAGTAATAACTAAACACAAAAGAAAAAGCATTCTAAGTAGTCGCACTCTTAGGAAAAATTGTGGAGATTAAGCATGCAAAAATAAAACTTTGCCCTAATGCATTATAGATTTCCAAAATACCAAGCTTATATATATATATGGGAGGTTGTAAATAATTACGAAAAATAATTCAAAATTTTTTAATGGTTAATTGATTAAAAATAAAATTATTAATAAGAATCAAATTAAGGTAATAGTAATATCAATTTTAGAATAATTTATGCTTAGAAATGTTCAATTAAGTGATAGTAAAACTTTTTTTTAATATTATTTTTTAAATAAATGAGAGTTAATCACATTTGTACTGTTCTTTTTTCCAAAAATATTAGCAATAAGATTTGAGCATGATTTAAGATATAATAAAATAGATTTTGACTTGAAATTAAATTAAATGGAATTGAAATTTTGCTTGAAACCAAATCAAATCAAATTTATTATTTAGAGAATATGTGGAACTTGTCCAAAACATTTCACACGTCAAAAAAAATAGATTGTGACAATTACCTTTTATCTTTTGAAGGTTTTGATTTTTAAATATTTATATAAGATTTATATTTGTCAATTAGAATAATCAAATATATAATATGTATTCAATGTATTTGGAAGAAATAAAAAGAGAAATTTTAAAATTAATGTAATAATGACAATAAAATTAATTTAATTTGATATACTAAAATTAATTTGAATTGATTTGATTATCGTTAATCATTTTAAAATTAATATATTAAACATATATACATATATAGTTTTAAAAGTGGAGCCAATAAGTAATATTTTAAAAAATTGGAAAGTGTATTTTTTTAATAAATATAATTCAAAATTTGAATATTTATAATTAAAAAGAGACAAATTTATTTTATTTACAAAAGATTGGCAATCAAAACTTTAATACCTTTAATACGAATTTAATGAGTGTGATTTAAGATAAATAATAAATAATAAATATAATTAATTTAGTTTTTTAAATTAAAAATGTATCAAATTAAATAAAATATATTTATTAAAGGACATTTGACATTTTTTAAGATCATCTATACGTCAAAATAATAAATTATCCACCTTAAATTTTTTCTTTTTTAGGTCAAAAATTTTGATTTTTATATAGGAATTAACAGCTTTAAATGTTAGAACTAAACCCTTATTAGATTAGTCAGAAAAATCGTTGAAACATTTCGTCCGGTTCAAAAATCCTTTCATTTAGGAATCTACCGTTAATGCCACTATTTAATATAATAAAGAACTTAAGCTCACATTAGTCAGACGGATTGTTGAAACATTTTCGTCCGGTTCAGGCTCACAGACTACATACACAGCAAAACAGCCAATTATAATTGACCCTTGCCATTACAAACAGGATAGGAAACAAAAAATATGAATAAAACCAATTTGATTCAGTTTCAACTAAGGTTTAGACATCATACTTGTATAAGTGATGTTATTTGTGTTTTGGAAAGAAGAAAAGCAAGCCTTCTTTCCTCGAACGAATGTTCAATCTCTTCAGGAATTTCTTCGATGTCTGGCTTGGTTTTGAAAAGTATCGGTGGAGCTGGGGTCATGGCTGTCTGCATCGGAACTGACACTGTTGAAGGTGTAGAAGGTACCGGAATAGGCATTGCCTTTGGTGTTCTATTCTCTTCGTCAACCAAGGAAGTTGTCTTCAAGGGAGTAGTGTAGGACAGGTCATTAGTCTTTTGAATGGCTTCAACATCATCTTCAAGCATGTTTGTCATATTGGCTTTTGATGATACTGTGGAAGAGATGGACGAGAATGGCTTACGAACCACCAATGGTGACTCTAGTTCATTGGCATTTATAGCACTAGAAGAGTGCTTTCGTACAGGAATGTCAGCAATGTCCAGGCCTCTCCTAACTGCAAAATGGTGAGAGTATAAGGAGATAAATTTATCACGACAATCCAGTAACTTTTGCCTAATGACTGCCCAAAGAAAATAGCATGAACAAATATCCAAGATGCTTTATTGTTAGTTACCCCAGAAAGCAGTTGAGATATTTCTTGGTTGTAACAAGCAGAGACAGAGAACTTACCACCTGAGAATGTAATGGCTTCATCCTGGCGATGATTTAAAAGGTCATTTTGGAATATTCGCTCCGTTTTCTTACTAGGACGTGTTTGGGGAGTAGCCTTTGCGGGGTGAAGTGAATCAGGTTTATGGGTGGGAAGCATTGCTCCTCCCAAGGAGACTCTTCTATTGCTTGCACCTCCACTTGAATACCTAGGACCCTTTTTTACACTCTGGGGCTTTGATGGGCTTGGTTTTGACCCATAGAGTGCCTCTTGCTCAGCTATTAGCTGTCCCTGAAGTTTCTTCTGGTCCTGGAGCACAAAAAGAATACTCTCTGATTACATAGAGCCTGGGTTCATAACTTGGTTAAACGGTAGTAAGTATAAACATCTGCACTGCAATTGGGGCATAGAGTGAGCATTAATAGGTTAGAAAAAATTTAAGACTGAACCAACCGAGTTCAGTTTATTTGGTTTAGGGTATTAATTGATTAGGGAAAGTAATTAATTCGATTAGCTCAATTGGCTTTTGGTGTCCAAAATTAATAATCACCGAAGGAATTAATTTATTTTTTAAAACTAATTTATATAATATAAATATAACCAAGTTTGAAAACATATATTATATAATTTACCTTATATATAATATATTTATGTATTATTTAACTATAAAATAATTTTTATATAATATAAATAATTTATTTTTTAAATAATTAAAACTGTCTCGACCAACCGAATAGACCAACCCAAGTCAATGAGTTTTTAGTTTAGGTCAATGATTTGATTATTTTTTTACATTAATTGGTTAAGTTGGTTTTTGAATTTTAAAATTCAAACAATCGAATCGAGCTCACCCTTAATTGGAGAATAAGGTTAGAATCATACCCGCAACCTACGCCGTTCTTGCTCTTTCTCTTGTCGTAAAATAGTATACTCTTCAAGCATAGAAAGCAGACGAATCTGGATAATGTAAAAGGGTCAGCAGACGAATCCGGATATAGAACATAAAGGTTCAGGGTGAAAGTTATTAGAGTACTTACACCATCATATAAAAATTCAATCCCTCTCTCCTTCTCCCATGCCATGGTCTTTGAAGTCAGTGCCTCCATCATTCCTAGGTTAGTTAATATGATAAAAACAACTTCAGTACTGTGTTAACTGATTCTACTCAAAAGAGGTAGAAAATAGAAACTGATTGAAAGGAACCTAAAAATTGGGCTGCATGATGTGAAATCATTATGACAAAACCATGCTTAGTAACGTGAAGTTTACATTTCTCAACCTTTTATCTTCAATGTTTTAATCACCTGGAAGTTTATTAACCAAGGAACGAGCTTTCTCAGCACGCTTGAGTGTTAGATGAGCACCTTTTCCTGCATTATATCGGTTTTCATCCTGTTGAATAACAGACAATTAAGCAAGGAAATCATAATAGAAGAACAAAAAATTATACTCTTAAGAGATGACAAAAGCTCCCACCCTGTTATATTCCTCAAGCCAGCACTCCTCGTCACATGCCATCAACCATTTCTCCACCTTTTCAAGTATTTCTTTCCTGCTTAAAGCTTCCTCTTTTACCTTAGCAATTTGAAGTTCAATTTGTTCTAGAATAGTAGCAGCATCAATAGCCCCTGGATAAAAAAAGTAAGAGTGACATTCAGTAGGAAGAGAGGGAAAGTGAGATATAACTTATAGTATGAAGACAATAATATAGCATTCGCATGTACCAGACTCGATAGCTTCAATGGCATCTTGTATTGTACTTTCTGAATCTGGAACCAGGTGCATCTTTCTACAGATCTCCTCTAGCTCTGATCTTTTCTTGAGGACAAGCTCTTTCATTTTGCTTGACTTCAACTCTTCCAACCGAGTAACTTCGGCCTCAACCTGCACGGCATATCATATTTACTTCTCTATTAGTCTGGAGGAAAGCAGTTACTACCTTTAGAAATTGTAGGACCTAGAGAAGATCAGTAAACTGACGTTTAAACATGCATCACTTACGTAGTTGATGAAATCCACAGAGAGAGTGTTGGGTTCAGTAATTTCATGTTCTGAAGCAGCTATATTACAGGTAACATTCTGAAACATCTGTTGCTCCTCAATAGGTGTATCCATCAGATTCCATAACTCCAACATGGTAGTTGCAAGATCTTGTAGCTGCCAAGGGTCAAAGAATCATTAGTATAGTCATAGAGAAGCGAGAGGAAGGGGGGGAGGCGAATTTTGCAATATACAAAAAGCTGAAATTAACATTTTACCCTTTGCATCCTCTGCAACTTAACTTCCCGTAACCTTTTTATCAATGTAGCCAACTGCTCAATTGTATTATTGCTAATACTCCAAAATCCTTCGGAGTCACCTAAACTAGGATGGACTGCAGTAACCGTAAGCTTGAAATCCATACCCATCACCAAGCAGAGTGAGTTCAACCTGTAAAGGCGATCCTGAACCTGCTTCAGACGATCACTCTGCACAAGAGAGAGATCAGTCAGTGAGCAAAAGATAAGCATTTGTTTTCATGAGGTGGAAACAATAAAGAATTGAAAAAAAGAAAGTTGACCTTCTCTATCTGAAGTTCATGGAGCTGACTGTGCAATTCTTCAAGCTTCCTTAAGGATAAGTCAGTTTCATCCACAACAGTTTTGGAAGAAACTGATTCGGTGGATCCATAAATCTCATTTGTGATCTTTTCTATTTGCTCTAAAACTTCCAGGAATTGATTTCTTCTTTCGATCTTCTTTTTCTTCATTTCCTCCAATTGTGGAAGAATTTTGCTGAGCTCCTCCTTCAAGCTTCCAACGTTTTGTTCAGGCTGAAAAAAGTTTGAACCATAATATAAGGAAATGGTTCAATCTAATCGGAAAAAGTTTAATCTGAATTTGTTATCTTTTCATTCCTGACCTGCCTAATATGCACTGGCCTCTCGCCCATTGCTGAACAGATGGCAGCAAGTTCGGCTTCAGAATCAGCAATTGTCCGTCTTAGCTGAGCTCTACAGCGATTTGCCTGATCCACCTTTCTTCTGTATACTTCCAGGCACTCTCGTTCGAGCTCAAGCAGCATTTTATCCCTGTCAGCATCTGTTTCCCCGACTTCATCCCAGATTATCTAAATTTTTTTAAGGAATCATGAAAGCGTAAAAAAATTAATAAAAACAGGACAGCTGGAAGGCATAATCTCGCCCAAGGGGGGAAAAGGGGATTTTTAGGTACCCATTGTGTGGAATTTTTATCAATACCTGAAGTTCGTATAGAAGGGTTCCACAAGTTGTTTCCACTTGAAGAAGTGGATCACTATGCGGAGTAGACATGTTGAATAATTCCTACCAAAACCAATATCTTCAGAAATCAAAGGATACCCAAAATTACAAACAATAGAGAAAGCAAGGAGGACCAAAAAAAAAACTGAAGTTCCAGATGGTAAATATAATTGTAAAGGAATGGCCAACACTGATTTGGATCAATTTTAGCTGAAAGATTGAGAAGTGAGAACAATGAAACTGGGAAAACAATGTTGCAGTCGCTAAGTAGAAAAGATGAAGCTATGCTCGCATTGGGACATGAAAATGGATACTTATTTTTTTATTTTCCAACTGCACAAATTCATTCTCCAAATTCATAACTGCAGCACCCAAATTCAATATAGTAGTAGTCTTAGACATTGAAAATTGTTAATATTTTAGGCAAATATGCTGTATACAGGACTCTGGATTCCCATAAGTTTTTCTAAGTTGAATATAAAACGAAATTTAAACTAGGAATTGATTGTAAATAAAATCCTAGGATGAAAATGCCATAGAAAAGAGAAAATGACCATTTGAAAACTATAGATGGCATATGATCCATGATCATTAGGTAACCCTAATTCCATCAAAATCTTACTATAAAAAAAAAAAAATCAATAGCAAGTTCCAAAGCTTAGACCTAAATTTTGAGGTGAAGATCAATGGCAACAGTTTTACAATCTTGATTTCCTCTCAACAACACACTAAATCATGATTTTGTTGCAAAATTTTAGCTATTAATCTTCAAAAATTTCAGAATGAGCTATTACACTAACATAGAACAGTACAAGAATAGGCATCCATTTTCATGAAAATGAAGAACAGGGAATATATTAGACCAAAAAAAGAGAACAGGGGATATAAGCTTTAAGATCTCCCCTTGTTTTTTATCTACATTTTATTGCCAGCCAAAAGTAGCAAGAAATTGAAGAAAACAGAGCAAAAACAAAAGAAAAAAAATAGAGTTGGAGACAAACCTTAACAAAGAGGGAATGAAACGAACAGTTTTTCCTTTCCAAGGTTTGTTTTTCTTAGAATGAAACTTTTTCCTCAGAAAATGTAGGTTATCCAAAAACCAAAGGGCGAAAATTAAGATTTGAATTTTCGATTTTCAACAAAAAAGAACCAAAGGTCGAGAGAGAGAGGGATTGTAGGCGTTTACGGAAAAAGGACCGTTGAAGAGCGGTTGTAATTGAATTTGCCTTTAATGATGATAGCCTAGGGATTGGATTTGGTAGGAACCAAGACGATTTGAATTTCAAATCTCATGAGGAGGGGGCCCCATCTCATGTGCCTGTTTACACCGACTTTATGACGGTGAACCGTTGGATTAGTTTATGACTTTGTAATCCATCGGTCCAAATTTCTTACATTCACAAGATAAGCTGTTCTGTAGGGGATTGGATATATATATATATATATAAATATAAGACGAGTTAAATTCTGTTGCCTACCGTGATTCCTACGAAGCAGTCTTAGAGGATAAATAGGATTTTGAGATGAAACCATCAGAAGAAGCGGCTCCCATCCAATTATCTCTTAATTACTGTATTTAGAGATGTTTCATTAAAAATAAATTTAAACATACCAAAAAAATTTAAGGTAAAAATCGATTTGAAAATTTTCTTTTTCATACAATAAATCAAACAATAAAAGTAGTTTATTTCTCTAAATTATAAATTTGATATTATCTTTCTCAATCAGGTATCATATGGCTGTCAATATTCCTATCTGCTGATACAACATGTAATTTCTCTCCCAAACGCCCTTTCTCTAAGGAAAAAAAAAAAGGAATATATCTTACTGTTTCAATTACAAAAGCACGATGATGTGGGACTTTCAGACCGAAACACATCAAACTTATGATGAAAAGTTTTGATGGCCCTCAAATTCTCTTCTTATAATTTCGAGCACAAGTTCATTCCAGGTATCAACAGGACCTGGCATGCACCAGTGCAGACAATCTTGAGGTGGAGGCTTTCCATCCGGACCACGTTTTGTGATCTTATTTGGATCGGGGTTCCTATAAGGGCCTGGATGCCCATCATGGCGATACCCAAAGACTTGGGTAATATCCATCAACCTCAACTTGGACTTATTTCTCGCCGTCTTAACAGCACGTTCAAAACCCATTACCTGTTTCTTGTGCATTATATTTGTAAAGCCATTCTCCGCTAATTCACCAGCTGCAAGTGGCTTTACCTTTCCGGTGCATGATCCACCTGTATTCCAAGCCCCACCCTCATAATGATCAGGAGAAAAGGAACGTAGGATAGTCAAGCCTGTGTAATTAGGATATGTAACAATTGCTGACAGAATTGTCTCCACAGATATTCCAAATGCTTCAATATTATTAACCTTCATAGGATGAGAACGATCTGGCCACCATAATTGTCCTCCAACAATCTCATTGTTAAAGATATAGACAGACTGTTTGGCAAACCAGTGGCCAGAAGAAATAACAATCACATCAAAGTTTGGGATGAATTCCATGAAGCTATTATCAGGAGCATCAAGATGCAGCTTGGTAACACCCTCTGGAGCAAAGTCGAATTTTTCAGAAGTTTGATGGACAAGCCAAGAGGACCATATCCGGACAATCATTACAGATGTTGACCTGAAAAACCATCGTTGCATTCTTCGGTTTCCTCGATTTTTTGGAACTTCAACCTGAAGTTTTTCCATAATATTTTTCATGAGAAACCAGTCCTAAGGTAGAAAGGAGTCGAAAGATCAATCTATCTTGAAAAAAAGGATGCACAAAGTACATAACTAGTTTCTCACACTTCAGAGTACGGAGTGCTAGAAAATTACTAAAATATTTACTAAAGGTCATAGCACATAAAACCTCTAGCCAGATGAGAAACCAACCTATTCCTGAACATACCATTGTTCCAATATTTCAAAGCCAGAAAGAAACTGCTGAAAGTGAAACAAGGGATTAGGAGAATCAAGAATGCTACAGCATCCTTGCTACAATATCCTTGCTAGAAAAATTATGGTGCAAACTTGCACCAATCTCAGAGTTTACTGTGGGACAATTTTTTGTTCAGAAATAACTGGCAGTTTAAGAAATGCAGATACTTGCCTGCCAGAGAAGACACAGCATTGATTCCATCTGATTTCTAGCAACAGAGTCACCAATGAAAGCAAGTGTCTTTCCTCTCATCAACTCTAGGAACTTCTTGGCATCAAATCTGGGGAGGTCACATTGAGAGGGTTTCCAACGCCAATTCTCATATTCCTTGTCAGGCCTCCCATTACCCTGGCAATTCTGCATCTGTGTAAGGACAGGGCAAGAGTTGTTGGAGTATAATGGCCCTAGTGGATCATAGAACCACTTTCCTTGGTACAGGTCACAGCCTAGAGAGTAACCAATCAAAATGCCAAATGAGAATCAGAATCTCAATGACAGAGAGGAGAAAAAAGGTAAGATGCAAATACATGGAAGGGTTAAGTAACACTTCCAAGCAAACATTGTTTCTTACACAGACAAGAGATCAAATAGGGATCAATATAGCTGATAGAGTGTATAATGACAATTCTCTCTCCTTTTTCTTTGTAAATTATCAGATATTTCCAATAGCAGTTTATCAGCACATCAAGAGAATTATGATTAAATTAAAAAACTATTATCAAATAGTTCTAAAAGTAGATTACTGATTTGCGACTTAAATATTCAGATGCATCCATTTCTGGACATTGCTACGTAAAATAGATCATTGGCCACAAAACATTTCAGTAATTATATTTTGCATTTCTTCCCTCTGCTTTGTACCATAATCTGGGGGACAAAAATGCAAGCAAGACATAAGACTTGAACAAATTTTACTCTATTCTTGATAAATAAACCATGTAACAGCAAGCTACCATGTTAGAGACCTAGCATAAACCTTGTGAGAAAACAGAATAAACCAGCATCAACAAGCTCCTATATATTTCCAGTAAAAGATGCAGAATCCACCTCTACTATAACAAAAACAACCAAACAAATAAGTATGGCAGGTAATAATTGATCTAAAATCAGATGTTATATCAAAACAAGCGTAAAGGGAATACTACCTGAATCAACTGAATTGCTCTCAGATGCATTGCTAGGCGCAGAACTGGAAGTGTCCACCTTCTTTTCTGTTGCTCTAGGCGATGGTTCTGAAAGCTCTACAGGTTTCTTCAGCATCTCATTATCGTTTGAATCAAATGAATCTTTGGGACTAGTAGGCAGTTCTAGATTAGACTCAGATGGTATCGAATCCTTATCAACAGAAGATGTAATGGGTACTTGTGCATTTACATTTTTATCAACAACAGAAGAACTATTTGAACTCATCATGGGCAGTTCTAAATTTGACCCAGATGATGAATTCTTATAATTGTAATCTACATCCTTATCAGCACTTTTATCAAAGGTAGAAGCAGGCAAAACTATTTTCCTATCAACACCATAAAAATAAACTCTAACAGTTGAACCGATCGGATACGAAACTAGAAGCCAAGAAGCAAAAATCAAGAACAATGCTAGTACTGCCACTAAGGATGCAATGGAGGAAAGGCTCCGAGGGAACACAGCCATTTTATGAGAGCCCTTTGGGGAAGCCAATGTCATGGTTTCCTTATCAGATAATTGTTGTTTCTGAAAATGACCCACTAACAAAAAGACTTCCAAATTGGTAATTAAATGAATGCGAATCGGTTTCACATGGCCTAACCCGACTTTTCTTTTTCTATGCAAGAAGGAAGAAAAGTTTTCTAAAGCTTATTGGATCTTCTTCCCTGATTGAGACCTTCTGGTAAATCCTGTTCGCGAATCTCAGAACGGCACATGCTTGTAGAGACTTGAATTCCTCGTTCTTTCCTGAGAAAACAAGATAAATCTCAAACATTAGAGGAAAAAACAAAAAGAGAAAACAAGGTTGCGTGATTCAGATGGTCATTACTTAAACTTGGAAATTCACATTTAAAAAAAAAAAGGGAAAATCTTCAATTATTAAGGAAATAGTAGAAATCTTTCAAGATCCTTTTAAAATAGAAACTTCTATGTTTGAAGATAAACACATTATTAATCATTAATTGAATATCTAAAGGAATCTTCGCATTAATGAAAATCCAAAAAAAAAAAAAAGGATTTGAACGCCGAAATGAGGAATTTAAAAAGAAAAAAATAAGAAATTGAACTCATAACTTACAATGCTGTAGAATGGAGAGGATTCGGTGATGAAATGGTGAATTTTTTGGCGCGATCTTAGAGAGAGAGAGAGAGAGAGAGAGAGAGAGAAATTGGCACTGAATAAGAGGGGGTAATTAAGGGAAAATATGAGGAATTTTATTATATTGAGGGAGTTTAAAATAAAAATGCGGTGGATTTTATGCTGCACCGTATTTCCATTGTTCCCTGCAACTCGCCAGTTGCCTTGTATTTCAGTATTTCTCAGCCAGAAAGAAGGTAAAGCTGTTAAATTACCGGAGTGCCCACGGTTCCGGTTTTCAAGGTCTCAACATTGCTGTGATTTGCGAATGTTTAATTATTATTTGGCTAAAAAAATAATGTGTAATTATTAAAGTCTTCACATCTGATGGCCCAAAAAAAAAAAAAATACTTCGCGTCTGAAAAAAAAAAATTCTTCACTTAGATTCTGGGAAGAAAAAGAAAGGATTTGGTTAATAGTGTTTTTAAGGAATTCTTTTAAGATTATTAGTATTTATTGTTCCGTATGTTATACTTGTATATTTATTATTTTTATCTATTTTAAAAATACATTTTATAGTAAATATTAATAAAATGTACTTTATCCAAAATTTGCATCAACACGCAAAATTTATTCTATATATAAATTTTATTAAATTAATATAAAATTTATTATTTTTAATGTTAATATAAAATTAAAAATATGAAGATAAAGAAATTTAATGAAAACTTTAATTTTTTTATTCATCAAATAAATTTATTTATTTTTTAAAATGAATGAAAAATTAAAACTCTAAAAATAAAAGCGATTCAAAGTAAATTTTAAATATTTTTATTTATTATCAAATAAATTCATTTAGTGAAAATTTTAAATTAAATTAAAATTTTTACTTATAAATTGGATAAATTTTAATTTTAATAAAAATACTTACAGTGACATTTAGAAAATAAAATAAACAACAAAACTTTTTTTTTTAATTTAAATGGTTTTTATATATGTACTTTTATATATATATTAGTATTTATTGTCAAATGCATTACACATAAAATTGTACTTATTTATAAAAAAATTATATAATGAACATAAAATTAAATATCATATAAATAATCAAAATTAATAAGTGCATATTAATCAATATTCAAATTAACATCTAAAATTGTTTATTCAATGAAAAATCCAAACTACAAAGATAAAATAATTTAATGTGGATTTTAATTTTTCATTTATCACAAAAAATCTATTAAAAAAGAGTTTTAATGATATTAGACTTCTTATTTATAAATTGAATAAATTAATGAATTGTAAAAAGAAATTATAATTTAAAAATATAAATAAATAATAAAATTCATTTTCATCATTTCAAAAGTTATCCTTAGTTTATACATAGATATTAAGTACAAAAAAAAAAAAAAAAACTTTTCTGATATGTTAGCAACACAAATGAAGGCTTAATTGCTTTTTTGGCTAAAATAATCAAAAAAATCTTTGAATTTTGTTATTTTATTTAAATAATTTTTTTATATTTTTATTATATTTAAATAAGCTCTTAACCTTTAATTTATATCAAAACAAATTCTTAATTTGTTAATTTTTACATAAATAAGTTCTTAATATAAATTAATATTTTATTTGAAGTAAAAGCTTATATGAATAAATATAAAAACATAAAGACTTATTTAGATACAATAAAAATATAAAAAGTTATTTAAATAAAATTAAATAATTCAAGGGTGTTTTAGATTTTAGCCTTGTTTTTTTTTCCTAATATTTTTATTGCTTTCTGAAAATTTTTTTAAGATTTAATAATAATCTCTAGAGATTATGTTTTTAAAAATAAAAAATAAAATTGAATTTATTTTTTAATAATTGAAACTATTAAAATTTAAACTTTGATTACTAAAATTAAAGGTTTAACCCTGTTAATATACTGAATTTATTTTTATCTCATTAGCAAGATATATATATATATATATATAAAATAAATATTCTCCTTAGACCCTAGTAGTAGAATACTTATTATTCAAATTGCTAGTTATAGTGTGTTTAGATTATTTATCTTTCTAAATTATTTGTAAGCTATGAGAATATGAGCTATCTTTAAAAGGTGTTTGGTCACGAAATTTTAGATTTTGGGAGGAAAATAATTCTTGAGAAAGTGTGGATTCTTGACAATAGAATATTCTTTCTACTATATAAATGTTAGATTTTAATGTTTGGTTCATAGAATCTCATATTATGTAATAAATATTTTTTATTATAATGTCTTTCATTACATATAAATAACACATAACCAACATTTCAACTATTAATTATGTTATTATAATTAAACTTATGACAACCATTAAACAACAAAAATATAAAAGGTTTACATTTTTATAATATTAAAAATAAGGTAATTTATTATAAGCAAAAATATATAAAATAAAGTCAAAGACTACTTTTTTTTTAATTTAAATCCAGTATTTAATCAAAAATATAAAATCAAATATAAATTCAAAGACTATGTTTTAATAAGTAAAAACTACATTTTTCTTATATAAGCGTAATATTTATATTAAACACCACGTTTCTAAGAAAATAAACACTATATTTATAATAAACATTATGTTTTAATAAGTAAAGATTATGCTTCTTTAATAAATGACTGCATTTAATTAAAAACAAGCACTATGTTTATGAAAGTACAAATAAAGTCTTTACTTTGCTTTTATGATGTTAAGAAACCTTACACAAGTTGTAGTTGAATCAAATGCCATTTGACTGATGGTTGTGGTGATTTTGGATAAACTTCAGTTTTTACTAATTAATAAATTGTGAGTTAACTTAATTGTACTTTATTTGAGGATTAATAGTGATACTCTTTTTTGGAAATAATCACACTTTTAGTGCCTAATTCTTGTAAACTATCATGTTATTGTTTAGTAAAAGCCAGTTTGTCTCTCTAACATTTTTATTGTAACATGACATTTAAAGACTACGTCTGTTATATTGAAAATGTATTAATTAATATAATAGTATAAAATAATATTATTTCATATTTTTAACTACTTTTCTAATAACAAAAACATAATATTTGCTAACAAAAGCCATGTTTCTTATTATGAAAATGTGATTGATAATCTATCAAAAATCACTTTTTTTGTTTCAAAACGTGATTGATAATGAATAAAGAATAACATAATTAATTAAGTATTTTAATTACATTTCTTATATCAGAAAACATAGTTGATAATAGTTGATAATAGTTGATAATATCAACTATGTTTTCTGATATAAGAAATGTAATTAAAATACTTAATTAATTATGTTATTCTTTATTCATTATCAATCACGTTTTGAAACAAAAAATGTGATTTTTGATAGATTATCAATCACATTTTCATAATAAGAAACATGGTTTTTGTTAGCAAATATTATGTTTTTGTTATTAGAAAAGTAGTTAAAAATATGATATAATATTATTTTATAATATTATATCAATTAATACATTTACAACATAACAAATGTCATTGATATGAAAATATTTATTTTATTTTGTTATTATTTTAATTAATCTACAATGATTCATATATAAAAAAAAAATGTTGTGTTTTCTAAAATAAAAGAAATTTCAAAAACATAAAATTTTAGTTATATACTATGTTTGTTTTTTTTAAACGTTATTTTTATTAATATAAATATACTATGTGTCTAATCATGTGTCAAGTGTCCAATCCTATAGCTAAGATTGCACATTTGCCCAATCTTGTGGCCATGAATGCCCATTTTTGTGTCAAAATGAGTTTTTATTTATCAAGCAATTATGTTGATTTTTAAATGGTAAAATAGATTGAAAAAAATTATTATTGAGGTCAAATATGGAATAAATTAATTTTTCTCTCGAAATCTTAAAAAATCACAAAGAGATGTAGTTTTTGATTTTGAGATATTTGAATACTATTGAGAATCTTAGAATACCTTAAGAATTAGATACCATGAACCAAACGTAAGAATTGAATTATGAAAAGCAAGATTCTGGGAGGTAATCTAACTTTTCCCTAAACCAAATGCCATTTAATTGTTTGAAATTTCCTTTTTACCCACTGTTCATTCCGTTAGTAAAAATCAACCCGAATTTCATCAATTCCCACTCTTTTTGTCTCTTTCAAGGGATCTTATAATGTGAGCAATTCTAGTAATATATTGATATGGGACCAACATGGCTAGTCGATAATGGTCCTAGTTGTTAAAATCTTATTTTTTAAAAAATAAAACTATTAATTTAAAAATTATACAGTAATATGACACAAATACAATAAAAAAACATAAAAATAATACAGTTTAAAATTTTAGTAATAACAATATATAATTTTATTAAAATAAAAATATATTTAATGTTTTCTTGTTGATATAAATTATGATATGTAATTTCAATGTAAAATGTAAACACCCTATTTTGTCTAAAAATTTTTTTTTAAAGATTGGAAATAGGTTTTTGGTTGCGAATTGAGCTCAATTGAGAAACTTTGAGCCAAATAAAAAAAGTTTTAATTTTAATTTCATTTAATTTATTTTTGTTTAATTTTACTTGTCTAAAAACAAAAAAAAAATGGGGAGTTTGAAAAAAAAATAGAAGATTTTGCATTAAATTTTGGTGCTTGATTTATGCAATTAATTCACATGCAATTTATTGGCTAAAATAAAAAAGGATTGAATCCTATAAAGAACCGATTGAAAGCAGAAAGAGGGGAAGTAAGGATCAACAAATAAGAAACCATTGTCAAGTGATTCCCAAGAATTCCATAGGATAATTTCAGGCATACGCGGGAGAAAGCACTTAAATAACTCCAAAACAGTAAATAAAGAAAATCCAATTCCCAAGTAGCGATTTGCAACCTAAAAAAATTCAAGAAAAAATCCCAAGTGCCCATTAGCTAGTGGAGCCCTCACTAATCCTCTATTGTTGAACCTAATACCATTTCTTTCATCATCATAATCCAGTCCTAAAACCACCATCACCCATCTCATTTTGTCTAAACCTTTGAACTATCGAAACCGAAGCTTGTCGATAATGAGGTCCCTCTCCCCAAAGTCACCAACAAAATCTTATCCAAGGGTTTTAAGTATTACAAGAAGCACGTTAATGCCACATCCACCAATAAGGACAAAAACACTGACGATGAACTTAAAGCTTGGAATATTGATTTTGTCAAAGTGGTTAAATGTAAACAATTCAGAGAAAAGCT